AGTCCTGCAGCTGTTCCAGGGAGATCAGATCTGGCTACGGCTGCATCGGGGAGCCATCTATGGAAGTAGCTGGAAATACTCCACCTTTTCGGGATACCTCCTTTATCAGGACTAAAATCCAGTGCAATGTTTACAAAAGAGCTGCTCCAAACACCTTGGTGAGGGGGGTGGGACTAGCTTTGCACTTACTACTGACTTTATAGAGGATATGTGGTTCCATTATTGGGGGAAATGGTGGTCCTGTTTTGCAAGGTGAAATCATGGAGTTGGGGTACTGAATCAGCACTAATTTGGCACTTTATCAGTTGTGATGTAGCCTTGCTAATAAAGCTGTGAATGTATATTGTTTGCACTTACCCTAAACTGTATTAATGTCCAGCTTACTACACTATTGATTGCCTCAAGTATGGGCTATTCACAATGCCTTGTTGTGCCTAAATAAAACAAGTTAATATGCATTTTAGTATTAATCTTGCCCGTGGTTTTAATTTTAAGACATTCATGTACACCCCACATCAGGAAAAAGGTCAGTGATATATTACATAGAACTGGTCTCCAAGTTTCAATAATTTAGGGTAATTTGTATTTAACTGGGATTGTCTTAGTTCCTGCTTAATGCCATTCTCAAAGGTGCTACCTTGATCAAAATGAATTCAAGAGTTAGCTACCTTTTTTCTTCCTAAAGGTCAAGAAATTACAAATGCAATGCTACATACTTCTAATGAAGTACTTTTAAATACATGTCCTGTCAAAATCTAGCATGGTCATAACATCAGTCCTTCAGTAGTGAATGAAATTCTTAAACCTGCAAACAGTCACTGAAGGGGCTGGCTTACACTGTTATTCAGTTGCAATAAATTTTTAAGTTAAAATTCAGCTTTATAAAGCATAAATGTCTATGGCTTCCCCCCTGCATGAGACTTGAATCAGATTTTAGTACAGGTTATTTCCTCATTTCACAGAACTGCTGAGGAACTTGGCATTCATAGTTGAAGCCTGGTGCTTACATTTTACATCAAACCTGAATACAAATGCTAGGAAGTGTTTCTGAAATCCCTTTCTTAAAGCTCTTGGGGTTTTTGACCAGACTTCAGCACTCTTGTGGCCTGAGAACTGAATAGCCATGATGTATGTCCTTGTTCAAATACTAGAAATAGTTTCAGTGTTTAAAATGGTTATATGATCTAGCAAGAAGGTAGGTCACTCCTTTCAAAAGCTTCAGCAAATTGTTTTAACAGTAGAAAGCACGTGATCTGAGTGTACTAATTTAGCCAGTGCACAAGCCTGACTTGTATATCTAAGACTGCATAGCTCTGCTTCAAAGTGAAAACAGCTGAGCTATCTGCTTATTTAAATAGAAGTAAAAACTTAAACTGAGTAAACTTCAGACTTGGTCTAAAGCTGTTGTTTCTAGTTAAGTGGTTTCCCAGCTTCCAAAACAAGTCTGGCATGACTTCATACATTTACTGGCATAAAGATCTTGATTTTGTTCCAAGCTCAGCTTTATTTTTCATACAGATTTTGAGGGTGATCATATTTCAAGTGTGGGTTTAATTCCTTTAGCAAATTTTGAGAGAAGCTGAGGCAGGACAAGCTTTGGGAAATCTAGTTTTTACCACTACCAGAATGTCAAGCCTTAACTATTGTACACTAAGCCTATGTTTTGTAGTTTTAAACATGCTAGTTCTGACTTTAGCAACAAAGAGGTTTATTTCTAGAATACCCACTACAGATTAAATGGCAGTTTAGCTAGATATGAGGTAAACATTTCATTTTCAGAGCTGTATCTTGTATAAGATGGATTTTTACATTCCTAGCTAAAAAGAGTACACAGTTACAGCCAGAATTGTGCAGGTAAGATAAAATAGAAAATCTAATACTATAATTCCCTGACCACAGGTCATGTAAGGGATGTGTTTTTTTGAAAAGTGAAGATTTCTAGCCTGAATCACGATAATCTCTAGAGTAGTAGCTACTTTAAAATAAAATGTCTGGTTTTGTCCTTCTATTTTTTATTGAAAAGAACACATATCTTGGAGAAATCTCGTCCTTGGAATAATGAAAAAAATATGATTGATTTAATCCTGTGGGTTTCTCACATAGTACCTTTTTAGTTAGAACTGTTGGTTTTCACTGTTTTTAGCCAGATGTGAAGACAGGTTTTACTAGCCTCTAGTTATGAAAAGGAGGGTAAGTACAACTGAGCAGGTACTGTCCTAAAGAAGGTTTCAGACTAGAAGCAATTCAAAAGGCTGTAACTGCTTAAATGCTAAGACTGTGTTTAAAAAAAACTCTGCAGAAGACCTAGCCAAGCACTGTTTTTCCATATCCATGGCTGTCCAAAATCCACTGGTAGAAAGTTGCTATTCTGATCTCCAAAATAGCTAAAAAAGTTGTCATGTGATTTTTCCATGATGATAAACACTAGTGTAGGGCTATCCCATTATGCTTCTAGACTAATAATAGTTTTTGAAAGCTTCTCAAATTACTTCAGAATATTTCAGTGCATTTTCTAGTGACACAGTTTTAGTCTAGTCAGTATGTCCAGACCAATGACCTAGTTCTTTATTCTGTTTCTGGGCAAAGCATTTAACAGGTGAGTTTTACAACCTGGAAATACTTTACTGTGTAGTTTTCATGTAAATACTGTCTGACAGTGTAAGTTGCATTTACATTCCCTTTTCCTCAGTAATTGGAAATAAAGTTAATTGAATCATAGCATTAGGAAAAATGCCTTAACTATGTAAGGATTATAATTGGGTCTAATTAAAACATACAAAGTGGCATCATTTTTCTGATAAATTTCCTATTACTGTCTGCTGTGCAAATTGGATACAACCTAAATTCTCTCTGATTTATTTCTCTCATGCAGCCTGCTGAAGGTAAACTTTAAAAGTAAGAAACACTGTGTTTTCATAGTGAGGAAATTTGTTTCCTGCTCTTGACATCAATGAAATAGTGGAACTACCCTGAAATGGGAAGGTGTAATGCTTTAGCTAGGAGAGAGTTAATTTTAATCAGAGTAACTGGTATAGGGCTGTATTTTGGATTTGTGACCAAAACAGTGTTGATAACCCCGGGATGTTTTGGTTATTGCCCAGTGGGCCTTGCAGAGTCAAGGCCTTTTCTGCCTGTCACACTGGCCCACCAGAGAGTGGGCTGGGGAAGTACACGGGTTTGGGAGGGGTTAAAGCCAGGACAGCTGATCCCAAATGACCCAAGGGATACCCCAGAGCACTAGGAGTACCCCAGTGTTTAGTAATACAAGCTGGGGGAAGGAGAAGGATAGGGGGCCTTTTGGGTTAAGGTGTCTGACATCTGAAGTCACTATTACACATGATGGAGCCCTGCTCTCCTGGAAATGGCTGAACCACCTGCCTGCCAATGGGAAGTGGAGAATGAATTCTTTGCTTGGCTTTGCTTAAGCTTCTGCTTTACCTGTTATATTGTCTTTATCTAAACCCACAGGCTTTCTCACTTCTGCCTTTCCAGTTCTTTTCCCTGTCCCTGTGTGGGGCTGAGCTGCCAGCTCAGGGGGATTCAACTGTGACAAAGGCTTTCTTAAAGTTTTCAAAAGTCTAATGGACTTGTGACTTCTGTGGGGTTTTTTCCAGGTCATGGAAGTGAGAGGAGACAATGAATAATCTCCCAGCACTGCCATGGCTGAATTCCAGCAGCTAAGGAAACCTCCACCCTGCAGGCTGCAGTGGTGGTGCAGAGAATATCACTGCTCTGTCCTGCTAGTTAAATTTAGGTACCTTTTTGTCCCTGACTGCTTTGTTATCTACAGCTACTCCAACAAAACAGTCAGTGTGGGAGATGGCTTTGGAATTTTAACTGTGGTCAAGAGCTTGTGTCTGGAGGATTGGAATACATTTGGATCTGTTGCAGATCATCCGTGCTAGTTCTTTAATTAAACCTATACATGTCTTGTGAAGGATATGAAAAGTCTGTTGTGTATTATAATTGGAGAGATGCCACAGTACCATTACCAGGTAAAAAAGAAGTTATGCACTTGTTCACAAGTCTCTGATCAACTTAATTTTCTCCCAACTTTCAACTATGAAAAATGAAAAAACCTTACGCATTTGTATTTGTGGATTGAAAATTTCCTGGCAGTGTTGTATTTGAAAAAAAATAATATTGTGAAGTACTAATCTGTCTGGAAAGTATTAATTCATACAACTTTTGAGCCCTAGAGTAAGGTTTGAGATGTGGTTGCTGTGGAATGAAGGCTTTATGCTAAGCACAAATCCAATCACTTTGTAATCATTAGTTATCGTTTAGTCATTAGTTTACTAATGACTAAACAATAACATTTAGTCATTAGTTTACTACAACAAAGTAAACCATGCTTTGAAAACAGCAGTTTGCTTATAGCCTGTAGCACATCACCCAGAGGAGTGCTGTTTTCTTTCTCATGCTTTTTCAGGAGTGTGTTATTAACTACAACTTACAACCAGGTGCTGTCCTAAAGGGACTTGGTTGTCATGAAAAGAGAGGGGTTGTTCCATGCCAGCAGAAATTGTTAGGTGCAGCTGAGACCTCACCAGAGTGCATTTCAAAACCACCAAAAGTCAAAGGACTAATTGTAGGCAACCTGTAAGATTTAAGGCTTTTCAAGTTTTTCCCAAAGTTCTTGAATTTAATAGAGTTATCATGATGGCAACTCTGTAAAGAACCAGGTCTAATTTTTGTTCAAGTCAAACTGGTTACATTGAAAATCCTTGGTTTCACAACTGAGTTTTAAAATAAGATTGTTTGTTCTAAATATTTTACCAAACTGTTATAGCACATCTGGAAAGCTTTGGAGCTTTAAAAAACCCACATCTTTGCTTTGCATTATATCCCTATCTCCCTGGTACTATATTTTTTTTTCCCTTACTTGCATATTGGTGCAACTTTGATTTAATTTGCTTTAGTTTTTTTTAGTCTCTCACTTGTCCCTTCACATTGTATCTTCAGTCACCAGCAGTTAGAGAACTGACATGAAAAATCTCTGAATTTTACATCAGATTCTTTATTTGCAGAGTAGCAGAACAGATTTCGAAAACCAAACCAAACCATTCATTGTAAATAGATGAAACACCAAATATTAACAGAATCTTTGCTCTAATAAAAAAGGCATATGAGTTCTTGCTTACAAGTAGTTGCTTTCATCCTGAAGTTTTCAGTCACATAAAAATATTTCAGTTAATGCCTAAACTTATTTTTAGAATAACATAGTAACTGGTATCTGTGAAGGTTTGTGTTGTACAGAAAGAAGTATTGGGCATCCAGCAAACCCAGGAAACAGGTAGACTACAATGCTTACATCACTAAAAGCACAATTTTAAATGCAAGAGATAAGTGCAATACAATTCTGAAAAACATTTTAGGAAGATGTTATAATACCCCTTAAATATATTCTGTTCTTTTTTGATATGCTTTACATCTCTAGCTCTACAGAGGTCCTTCAATAAATAAATGTAGTCACTTTTAAGTTCACCTACCACGGATGAATACACAGAAATGGAATGCAACAGAACTGCTCTTAAACTGTCCATAACATGCTAATTTGGGAAAAGGGAATAGAGATACACCACTACAAATCCTATAAAACAATTTGGATTTTCTATGATATGGAATCCAAGATTTTTAAATGGGCAGTTTTCCCAGGACAATTTATTAACTTAATAAAAATGGGACAGCAACAGTGACCATAGTTAATAATATATACTTTTTACACTAATGTTTTTTTTTATTTTTATGATTACTGAGCATACTCTCATCTGCTTTTAAGAAGAAATGGAAAGGTCAATGAAAGTGCCTACAATTTATTGCTAGATGCTGTAGGGCTGCATCACAGGAGAAAGGAAAGATAATGATCAGGTGTTCTGCAACACTTCAAAAGGTGATGAAAACCACAAGAGAGCGCAATCTCCACGTGCCAGGTAGGTGCAATTTATTGTGACAGCTAGATTCCTTTTTAATTAGAGGCAAAGTTACTAAGGGACATTTTAAAAATTATTATTAAATCACTACAGTGCCAGCTGCTTTAACGTTTTGGTTTATACTGTAATTACAATGAACAAATGACATGTCGTCCAACTATATTATTAAGGCACCTATATAATGGGATGATCTTGTAATTGCCATTGTGTTTGACTCCTCATAAGCACAGCAAATAGTCTTTCTGTTCTTCCTACCAGTTAATCACAAGTCTCTAGGTTTGTAAATGTTATGTAAAACATCACCTGCAGAAGTAACCAAAGGATTTGGCTCACCAAAACCGTATTAGAGGTTTTTCTGGTCTGTTTACCTGAGATTAGACCTTTGACAGACATCTTTCTTACACTTGCACAGATGCTTAAATCTTACTTTGGTTCACTTGCATGTTCTAGGATTTAAGGGGGGAACTAATAGGCAAGAGATGGAGAATCAGGGTGGGGCAAGTCTTTCGAGTTTTGTAGTGTTGGAGGTGGGGTTTGTATATTCCTGACAACCTGAGGGGTAAGCATCTCCCACCCCTCTCACACACAAACAATGTTAAGATAAGCAAACCCTTTCCACGTTTTACTAACCTACATAACGATGAGGACAAGTATCACACAGAAACCTGCTCAGAAGCAGAGCAGGAATTATGACGTGTGACCCAACTGTGCATTTTAGTAAGCTCCTTGCAGCAAATTTGTCTTCCTGTATGTTGTCTGTCGTTCCTGTGCAGGGAACATCCCTGAGGCATCTGGATAAGTGTGACCAATGTCAATTCTCTTCCATAGACCTGACCTCACCACCTCTTTCAGTCCCCGTGTTCTCACTCTCAGTTCTTGTGCGAACGACTCCGCGGGGTAACAAATACAGAACACCCAAGTCTGGCATGAAAGCTGGAAAGCTACCTAGAAAAACAGAGTAAAGTATTAAGAAAGAAAAATGGGATTTTAAAATCCTAATTTAAAAATATCCCGTGCGGGGCTCGGTGGGAGCCACCCCCGGCGTTCCGTACAGCGACATGGCCGCCCCCATGGAGTCACGGCCTGCAAGCCCCGCCCCCTGCGAGCCCTCCCGACTGACTCCTATCCGTACAGCAAGATGGCGGCCACCTCTCGCCGACCCCTTCCCGAAGCCAGAAGGCGGCGCCGCGGCCGTAAAGCAGCGCCCGTTTCCCGATATCCAGGTGTCGCAAACCGGTGAATGGCTGTGGAGAGGGGCCGGGGGGGGTG